GGGGGTTGGAACTAGATGATCTTTAAGGTCCCTTCCAACCCTGACAATTCCATGATTCTCTATGGTTCTGTGATTCTATGTTCACCTGCTGGTTGGAGTTTTAGAGCACTAAAGGGTTTTCAAATCTGTGTAGGAGCTCTGGAGTCAGAGTCTCTTACCAGGACTCTGCTGTGAAGCAAGCCCTGCTACTAGTGCACTGCTCCCACATGCAACCTCCTTTGCCAGCTCCTTTTGCTGCTGTAGGACACATCACATGGGTCTTAAATAGTAACAGGAGCTCAAAAGATAAAAACATGGGCTCAAAATAAAAACAGGAGACCTGCAGGTTTCTTCCCATACTGTAGTAATGTCAGTTTTTCTCAATGTTTCGATACCTCACTGGGGGAAAAAATGTTCCTTGGAAGTTTCTTGTGGTAGACTTTAGGATTTGCATTTGGAGGTGATCAACATGAGTCCTATTGAAGTTAACATTTTTTTCCGATTTTGAAATCAGGACATCTTCCGCATCTAAGTCTCACAGCACAAACAGATCATTGTGGGCATATTCTGTGGTATGACAGGGTGTGTGTTCCTGAGCTGCCTGGGCCGGCCATTGCAGGTTGCTGTTTGACTAGCTGCTATCCAGTTTCAATTTACCATATTCATAGATCTGAAAAGCAATTTTAGAAAATTATTCATGTATTCCTATAAGGGAGGAAGACCCTTCAGACCTGATATTAAACAAGTCCTTTGAAATTGAAGGACTATAAATGAAACAGAATAGGCAGGAAAGCCAGCAAGAGTAAGGATTTGAAAAAAAAAATCTGAGAAGGAAAGCTAACAAAGATTAATGTCTAATAAAAGCTGTCTATATTTATTTGTATTGTATTCAGCTTGTTCTAAGTTACCCATGGAGTCCAGAGTGAATTGCCTCGTACTTGGTCATCTTCTTTCCTAATTGTTTTTTGACTGCATTGCAGGCATTGCAAATGATCTTAATTGGAAATGTTTATATGAATGTAGACTGCTGGACTCTACTCAAGATTACTAGAACGAGATTATAAACAAATGAATGATTCATAGAATAGAAGAGGGAACATTTGAGCAACAGCATTGCCAGGGATAGACAGCACTATTTCATTTCTGAGCTTACATGAGAAATTAGGATCAGCCAGGATTAGGGTAATGCTTGGGGCTTTGGGGGGTGAGCTTACATGAGAAATTAGGATCAGCCAGGGTTAGGGAAATGCTTGGGGCTTTGGGGGATGGTTGTCGTTTTTTTTTCTTTAAATCAAAGTCTGTGATCTGACATTTGTTTTAGTATTTTAAAGTAATAAAGGAAAATTAATACTATAAGACTTTGATGTATTCTGTGTAGGGGACAAGAGTGCTATATATGTATTACCCACTAGGGATTTTGTTCGAGCCTGTCTCCTTGCTCATTGGATAGCTTCCTTTTTTAGTTTCATTTGCTTTATGCTCGGCAAGTCACGTAACATTTTTCCCAGAGTTGTTTCTGTTCTCTTTGCTGATACCTCCGACCGTTCATTCTTCTGTTTGTGAATTTCTGTACTCTCTGAGAGACAGATTTTGTATCTGTGCAGCTGTTTGTGCAGTACAAATGTGATGATCCACGATTGCGTGCTTTCTTTTAACGTAAAGTCTTATGGAGGTTTTAGGCCAAAAAATAAGTTGTTTGGAGGGCACATGTCAGTGCCATGATGGAAAAATATTGTGGAGCTGTATAATATTTGTGTGCATTATTTTGTTAAAACATTACTTTTCCAACTGAAAGCAGATAAGGTATGTAATTCATTGACTTTCTCTGTATGTTACCCATTACTTTAAAGAACCTGGTGGAAATTAATTTTCCTGAGCTTTCATATCAATTTACTGGCATGGAGTTATGTATTGCCAGTTTAATTCCATACTTCCATTACTTGTTCTTCAATTAATGTCATAATGACAAAAGGTACAGCTTTAATTTATTTGATGTATTGTTATAATAATTTCAATATCAAAGAAAGGTGGAAAAATGTCCTCTCACAAAAGCAGGTTTTTCCTAATACTGCAGATTGGTGTGAATTGAATATTTAATTTCACTAATCTAAACAAAAGTATTTTACTTTTGTGTTTCACTTAATCGGGAAACTATTTCAGTTTTATCTAGAGATCAAGTATTGAGCATCTGCTCTAACAGTGAAGTTTGGTGATGACTTATAGTAGATTTAGAACAAAAAGGGGAATTTGTATAGGAATGCTAAGTGTCAGTGAAAGGCCTTACCAACTGGATGTGGTTATATTCTGTTTTATCAAAAGAAAAAGCTTCTTTCTTTCACCTGATAGAATACTGTACAGTAGGTTTCCATTCCTGTAAAACAGAATGCTTTTTTTAATCACCTTATTCACAAAAGACTATGTGCAAGGAGGACTTGCCTTATAAGCTGCTTATGGGAGTATATTGGAAGCATTTGAAAACGATGGGCAAGAGAAGAGTCATCATTTGCTACGATAATGTGGAGTCAGCCATCTGGTGGCCCAGCTCCTAAAGTGGCGTAACGCGCTTCCCGGGCCGTTAGATTTGTCAGAGTGAGCTCTGCTCACCCAATGCAACAATTTATCATGTGCAGATTATTCTTATTCTGCTTTAGTCAATAAGGGGGAAAAAAAGAGAAATGCTTATTTGCATAATTACAAGCAGCTGAGACCTGACATTCGACCAAATGACTTTCATAAGGAACAGAAGTAAAAGCTGTTCGATCTAGCGTAGAAAACTGGATGCTTGTGATTTTGTCATGCTCAGTTTTTTACCTGTAATGCTGCATAGTGAGACAGTAAACATCGTGCTAAATTAATGCTCTGCGTCATTTTGTAAGTGGGCAGAAAACTCAGGCTTACAGGTCTGTATGTTAACATAAACAGTAGAAACTCTTAAAAGCAAAGACAGTTGAGTGAAGATGACATTGCGTTGCTAATTCTTCCTAGTTTGCTTTGATAATGGGGAAAAAAGATGACATGGAACCCATATTGAAAGCTGAAACTTGTCAGAGACCCCGGTCTTGTGAATTTTTGGACTATACATGCAATTTACCCTTGAAGCTGCAATGATAAGTAACGGACTAAGCATTAAAGTAGTCTTTAAGGAACTCTGATTTAAAATAAAAGGGTATTTACAGGGCACAAGCACTAGTACAGAGTTATTTAAGATATGTGCTAGGATTTATTTTTGATAGGCCTAAAGCAGAACATAAGTCACAGTCACCATCAGACTTGAAATAAATTTAACTTGTAAGCTAGAACTAGTCTCTACTGGTGCTGCTAAGATTGCGTTTCAGCCAGAATCACAACTGTGGGCATGATTCTGCAGAATTTGTAGTATTTTTTTTGAGGCTGGGGTTGGTCACACTTGGTATTTTGTCATTCCTTGAAAAAACTTCTCTATGTCTAATGTGCATGCCACTTCTAGAATGGCTTCTGTTAGCAAAGCAAGCACAAGTTCTCACTCCGTAGATAAGTTTTTGTTGTTTACTTTGCAATTTATGTTGTCTCTGTTATAGTTTGACTATCTCCCTTAACATCTAGCTCCTGAGAGATGAAACCAATACTTCTCATGTGGACTTAATTGCAGAAACGATGCTGCACCTGAGATGAATGCAGCCAGTTGCCTGTTCCTGCTCTTTCTTTCTAAGTGGCGTGTGGTGGGGGTTCCCCAGAGAGAGATGTGCAGAGAGGGGACAGATGGGACCAGAATTCCTGCAACTTCACACCCACCAAAGGGCAGCACGCAGGCAGGGAAGCAGGATTGCTACAGCTTCCCAGATATATGAGTTGTTCCAGACTCCTTTAATTACCATTATGCAAAATTGCCCTTTAAGCATTTTGAGAGTGGAACTATTTTTTTTTCCCCTCCCCTTTTTCATGCTAGATACATGGCTAGAGCAAACCCTGTTAAATTACAGTTGTGTGGCTTGATTGAGATGAGGTCAAATTACAGAGAGCTGGGGAAGGGACTGGAGGGAAAGGTCTGTGAGGAGAGGCTGAGGGAGCTGGGGGTGTTCAGCTGGAGGAGACTCAGGGGGACCTTCTCACTCCTACAACTGCCTGAAGGGAGGGTGCAGTCAGGTGGGGGTCGGGCTCTTCTCCCGGGCAACCAGTGACAGGACGAGAGGGCACGGCCTGAAACTGCCTCAGGGGAGGTTCAGGTTGGATCTCAAGCAGCCCTTCCTCACGGAGAGGGTGCTCCGGCACTGGGATGCACTGCCCAGGGAAGTGGTGGAGTCACCGTCCCTGGAGGGGTTTAAGGAGAGGCTGGATGTGGCACTTAGTGCCCTGGTCTGGCCGTTGCAATGCTGTTGGGTCATAGGCTGGACTTGATGATCTCAGAGGTCTTTTCTAGCCTCAACAATTCTGAATGCTGTGCATGAGTCCTTACTGCCTTGAAGAAGAATATATATGAACATTATTGAAGGAATTTATTTGTGTTTCCTTTACAGGTGGCATTAAGTGTCCTGTTTGCAGCTTTGTGTACGGTACAAAATGGGAGTGCAACAGACATCTTAAAATCAAGCATGGGATGAAGCTAGTGGAACGTGACAGGGAGACCAAGTGGGAGGTAAAGTTGCCATAGCTTTAGCCCTAGGGTTATAAAAATCTAGAAAGAAAAATAAGAAGAATAAGAATTATTCAAAAACGTTTTCTTGACTTTAAGATCAGAAAGTCATGTGATCTCATCTCCATTTTGAATGAATACATTGCTGTGATTGTTAAGCTTGACTGCTTTAATTTGGTAGGATTAACAACCTTGTAAGTGCTTATTTCTGCATGTTAGGGCTTTAGTCCTCTCTTTGCAGCAGAAAGGACGAATGTTTTAGCAAGAAAAATGTGAAATTGAAAAACTTACAGCATTTTGTTATATGCCAAATATTCCCTGGTATTAACTACAAGATATGCAAAGCTCCGAACTGGTATTGAATTCATGTAAAAAGCTTACATCTTGATCCAGAAGAGCTTAGAATGTAGAAAACTGAGTTTGTAAATTGATCAGCTAAAATATGGTCCTATAATACAGAGTAAGTCTTCTATCATTGGTTCCGTGTTTTCAGCTTCAATCCAAAATACACAGGAAATCCCAGTGTCACTAAGATCAGACCTGCAGGCAGTCTAACTCCCATTGTACATCGAGTGCCTGATCTGGAAGAGCCATCCCACAGTTTGGAGTATGCACAGACATAAAATTAAATTATGGAGAAATACCACAATAGGTTCTATATGGACAGTTACCCAAAGAACACAGGGCAGGCATTTTAAGATGTCATCCTTCCAAGTTGTGTACCCACGTACATTTCACAAACTGTTCTGTGTACATTCACACAGTAGATGCTCAAACCTGAAAAAATGAGGGCATCCAGGATGGAAGCATGTCTCTGCTGCTGAAATGGCTATAAAGAAGTCCTATTGCAGCAGTAATACATATTGAAAAATTGTCTTGAAAAACATAGCTATGGAAAGGATTTTTTTTTCTAAAATGAAATGCCACTCAAACTTTAGAGGCATTTTACTAGACCTGCAATCACATGCATTATAAACTGATTTTGCTTGAAAGATCTTTACTAAACCCTGACACAATAGAAGTCTGTTGTTAGTTCTAAAATAACCGTGCAACAAAATTGAAGATAACTTAGCATGCTTAAAGCAACTTTAGAATCTGGAAGCAAACTATGGGATAATATCCCAACTCCCATGTAATAGACTTCTTGAATTATCTCACCCAGTATTTCTATAATTCTTGTTAAAGTATTTGTTGTCCAAAGGTCATTCTTTTAAGGATAGAACTTTCACTGTTCTCTAAATTGCTAAAATGAGGGTGAGGTTATTCATCCCTTCTCTGCGTTTTGTTTTCAAGTTAACTGCTGAAGTTTCTGAAGAAGCATCCACTCAGTATCTCCATATCACAGAGGCTGGAGATGTTCAAGGCACTCAAGCTGCTGTAGCTGCATTACAGAATCTTAGATATACTTCTGAGAATGGTAAGTTACCTTTTTTTAGATTGGAGCACTTCTTTTTTCATAAATATTTAATGCTTTTGCATATAGTAAGCAATATATGATCTCCTGTGAAGCTATTAAAAATGATGTAATTTATCATCCAGAACTTACTTCTAGGGAGTTACATTTTTCTTTGGGGAAAAATAATGAGAAATCACCATTCTTTATAAGTTTCTGTATCCTTAAGTCATTAATACTTATCACACTCTGTTTTACACTTTATTAGGTGTGTGGAATTTCCTGCTTGTATTATTAAATATATTGTGAAATCAGCTGTCTTGGCGGAGTAGACGGTCTGTATCTAATGGCAATTCTCTAGCAATTATTTTTCTCACTGCTTAAGTCAGCCAGACTGCAGAAGTGACACGGTGGAATAGCTCATTGCCCATGTTCCCAAGACAGTGCTAAAAAACTTAATTCTGATGGCACACGAAATTAAGGGAGCTATTCGATATGAGATTGAGGAAGAACAAGAGTGGGATTAGATAATGATTGCTAAGTGGGAAAAACAAAAACTGTAAGAAAACTAAAAAGAAGTCCAGGTTTCTGAGAGTGTTAAAACATCAGGGACTGGAGAAGGTGTTCATATATTTGGGTTTTATATTAGAAATAAGTGCATTGGTTATCAGAAGATAACATTCTACAGTTGTTTGCCATTGAGGTCTTTATATTTCATAATACAGATACATTTCAAAAACTCCCACTTCTAATGGAATTTCCAAACATGTTGCAACAAAATTACATTACTGACAATTTATATATTAATGATTTTTAATGACTAGGAATTCTGAATGAGTAAAAACCTTGAAAGCCTTTCTTAAGCTTTTATACATTTAAAGTAAAATAAACACGATTGTGGAATATTCTGTACACAACACATTTGATTTTAAGCATGAGGCTGTAGTTTTCAGAGTAGAATGATTTGGGTTTTAGTGCATCCTACTTCAGATAGTCTTCCAGCTTATTCCCTCTAGGTATGAAAAATAGTAATATCTTGTCTAAAAGCAATTATATAGAAAAAAAATCCGAAACCTAAAGCAAGGAAACATTTTTCAGTACTCAAACTTATTTCTTATGCAGATAACAAAATACAGCAACTTTCTGTGCGAACTGAAATTATCTAACCTAGATGCCTATCACCGTATTAACCTCAGTTTGGAAGTGTTTGGGCTTAAGAGTGAGTTTTATTCTATTTGCCCTCTCTTTCCTAGTTTTGACAGTGATTACAGCAAATATAAGTAAGCTTTAACAGGATCTTGACAATTTTTTTCTCTTTCTGACATCTCTCGTTCTGTCAGTGGGCATGTGGGCATGGTGGGCTGCAGGAGGGGAATTTGTATTCCAGCATAACAAAAGCCTTTTTCCAGCATTCAAATCCTGCCTTTTCACACTCTGGGAGAATTGCCGAAGTGAGAGTACAGCTACGTTTGGGTTTTTTATTGTTTTGATTTGGTTTTTTTTGCAAACTTGCCTTTCCTTTGGCAAGGCTACACACGTCAAGAGGATTTTATAAAAAAGCTCAAATGTGTTCTGATTCCGTGCTTTTAAAATGATAAGTGTGATCTCTCTTAAGCAATTAACTCTTCCCTTCAGCACATCAGTGACAACAGAACTTCTTTTGAGTTGAGGGTTATTGCAAGTGGCTGGACAGCTGATAAACACCAAATAGTTGTACCTCTGCAAATACTCGTTTGGATCTGTAAAGTCTTGCAGCTTCCTAATTTAGAGTTAGAGCTAGGAGTTGTACCTGTTGCGTGCTTATTCAATGCGTTATCTTAGATCTCTTTCAAACAGGCATAAAAATGATCTGTGGGGCTTCACTTGCTGATTCATGCATTCCTCAGGCAAATTTGTTTTGTGAATGCTTTCCTATTATTAAAGCCTCATGTTATTGAGCTGTTTGAAATTCATAAACAGGGCTGTGAGTCAGGGTTAAGGCAGGAGGGGGGAAAGAGGGGCTGTCATGCTTAGATTCGCATACCTTTAGAACTGCTTTACTATAGTGTTCTTATGGTTCCTGTCTTTCTGATAAGGTGAAAGGCTTGATCCAACAGCTGTAAACATCCTGCAGCAAATCATTGAGTTGGGTTCGGAAACCCACGACGCCGCTGCAGTCGCTTCTGTAGTTACCATGGCACCTGGCACTGTGACAGTGGTAAAGCAGGTAAGAGCTTTTTTTTTCTCTCTAAACCAGCTATATTTAATTTTCATATATTTATTGTGAAATGAGTATTATTTTGCAGGGGCTAAAATTTGAATGACTGTGCAGACATACAGAATTTTTCCTAAACTAATTCTTCACTACATGTTGTGCATATGTGTGTTTATATGCCCACATTTATGCATATATATACACATTTATTCATATATATATATATAAATGCATACATTCTTGCATGTATGTAAAAATGAGTAAACAAATAAACATGTGAAAACACAGCTTTTTTTCTAGCAGATGTTTTTAGGCTTTTTAAAATACCAAACCCGTGCTGTGCGTGGGCACTTCATTCCACTGTCATCTAAAAGAACCAAGAGGTTCTTGGCACAGCTTTCATCCCGATGCAGAAGAGCCCAAAAGGGCTTTGCTGGTGCAGAACCGTGCCTGCTCTGCGAGCGTAGTGCTGTGGAACCAGACCCAAAGATGAAGTGTTGTCTTTAGGCTTTGTGGTGCTGTCCTGTGGCTGAAGTTTGACTTGTGGGGTTGTGAAGTCATGTACGCTGGGGACAATTAAAACTTCTCAGTCTGCGGTCATGCTCCCTTTCTGGTGAGAATTGCAGCACGAGTGATCTGCAGGCATGTAACAGCTTCGAGAAGAATATTGCAGGTGCTTCTTACAGCAGTTAATTACGTGAGACAAAAGTCACGTGGCCACCCACGTTGGAGAGAGAAAGAAAAGTTCAGTTGAGTTGTAGCTGCTTGAAAAGATCTGTTGTTAATTTTGTTGTTAACAAGGAAATTGTGCAAGACCAGAAGATACAGATCAATATATATAAAAAAAAATAGTATAGAATTGGTTGAGCTTGGTGCTGATAACAGTAAGGTCACGGGTTCGATTCCAGCTTGGTCCCCATGTGTAGCCTGGTCTAGCTGAGAGGTGTCCCTGCCCATGACAGGGAGGTTGGATTAAATGATCTCTGAGGTCCCTTCCAGCCTAGGCCAGTCTATGATTCTATGATTCTGCGATTGTTAATTTCAGACTCTTGCACGAATTCCCTTTCCAGAAAAATGGTGGATTTGACAGATATTTAAATGATATAATTTGTGGTAGGCAATATAGTTCCTCTTAAAATGAGACAAACCTTACAGGATACTGGTAGAAGTAACTTTCGTGTATGTGTATGTTTCTTGGAGTTTGATACTGCACAGTTTTTACTAAAATTGCTTGCAATGTGCTGTATTACTAAAGCATTCTAGAGATTAAGAATGATAAGATACACAAAATCAGCAAGTAAAAGGAAATAATTTTCAGTTTGAGGTTGCTACTGAGTGCAAACCTCAAGACTCAGTATTTCTTCCTCACAAGCATCTGCTGATTTTGTTGCTGATGTTTTATGTTCTCCCTCTTCTGTTGTACCTTTCCTCTTATCCCTTTTCCAATTCTGTTCATTGATGCATCGAGGTCTCTCGAAGAGAGGTCCTGAAGAGTTAAGTAACTTCTTGTATTTAAAGGAACCAAAACTGTTCATTCTGAGTGCTAGAACTAACTTTTGAGTTCAGTATTTTTTTGTAGTGTTTTGAACATTGAATCCATGAGAGCTCCATAGAAGCAGGAAGTTAAAACAGATGGAACAAGAGGAAATGGATTCCAGTTGCGCCAGGGGAGGTTTAGGTTAGACATCGGGAAAATCTTGTGCACTGAAAGAGTTATCAAAGACTGGAGCAGGCTGCCCATGGAACTGCTTGAATCACCATCCTTGGAGGTGTTTAAAAGCTGTCTAGCTCAGGTGCTCAAGGGACCTAGTTTAGAAGTGGGCCTGGTAGAGTTAGGTAACAGCTGGACTGGATAATCTTGAAGGTCTTTTCCAACCATAATTCTACGATACTACATCCATAGGCTGTAAAGGCAGCATTTGGACAATTCCTAAACTTTCTGCCCAAATGTCAGGGAGACAAGGCAGAATTTCAAGGCAAAGCATTTTGTTCCTTTACAAAACTTAAAGATATTTTGATTAGAAACCAGTAAGCGTTTTTGTGGGTTTTGGGGAGAGTTTGGGGGTTTTTTGTTGCTGGCTTTAAAAACAAAAACCAACAACAAAAAAGAAATCCAAATTTGGAAAGTAAATTCAGCCATTAACGAGCAGAAACATTTTAGTGTTGTTGTGTGCAAGTTTCAAAACAACTTTTACAGCAGAGTCACTGCCAACACACCTGCTGTGCTGCACAGGGTTGAATGCAGCGTTAGCCATTGGTGCTGCTCTGTGCTGTCAATGTTACTGAAACCTGTTCTTCCCTTCAGAATGCATCTTTTGAGGCCCTTCTGAAAGCATAGGAGCTGAAATAGCAGCTGCCAAGCAGAAACTGCATTTTGATGTTTGAGTGTTAAATTTTAAAAATACCTGTTTTAAAGAATTCAACAGTTCTTCCTGCTCCAAGTATTAAATCTGGTCAATGTCTAATATCTTCCTTGTTTGACCGTCTAAACTTCCTGATAGCTTTTTGTAAGTAAATTTATATTCCAGATTAATTTTCTTCCTCATTTTTTAATCCATATATCTAGCCTTTTGAGTTTGCAGTCTGCTTTCCTTTTTTGCCTTGTATACATCAGTGACTCCTGTTATGATGTCGAACTGTTACAAGCCTCACTCCTATATCAAATCAAATATTGAATTCTCAGAGCGCAGAATCTCTTTGCTGCTTTTCTTTTTTTGTTTTCTCCCACTCCCTTTAGAGTCTTGCTAATATAAATGCCTTTTTTGCTCTAACTTGAAGTTACACAGAAGCAAAATCAGGGAAGAATTTGAGTACATCTCAAGCTGAATGATTTTGTGCTGCTTCTGTTTATGCTGAATTTCTGGTTTATGCCTCACTTTGATGCTCAAAGCACTGTTCCTCTATTAACATGTTTCTTGCACGTACCACGGTGCCAACTCATTTCTTCCTCTGGTAGCCTCAGTGACTTTTCACTTGGTGTGTGCAGAAGTGTGAAGCTCTGTGATTTTCCAGGGAGGATCGGGTGGCAGCGTGCCTGCCGACAGCTGACTGCTTAGTTACCTTTAGTGGGCTTTTAGTGGGCTTTATGGAAGTAGAACAAGGACCAAAGGAGGTTTGTAGATGATGCTGATTATTTATCTTCTTTTTTTTTTTCCTTTAATTTTCCTCCTTTATTTTTTTCTTTTCATTTTCTGTATAAAACAGCATTTTGTTGAAGTCTGATCTTTTATACAGCTCTAGTTGGTTTCCAGTTCTTGTCTTCCCAACAGACGATTCTTCAGAATTGCAGCCACACACATTTTTGATTTGAGGGAAAGAAGTCTTTAAATGTTATTAACATGACTGTAATCCTCTCCTATTCAGAATTGTCAGCTTTTCTTTATTCTCAATACTGAGTTGCCTTCTGTGGCATATCACTCATTTGTACCTACAACTTTGTTAGGTTTTAATTATGCCGAGTTCTTAATTGTTAACTTTGAAGTGATCTTAAGACATATTTATATTTCACTTTGCTACTGGAAAATTTATTCCACACTTTTCCTTTGTGACCTTCGGCTTCCTTTGTGGATTGTGAGACAAAAAATCATTCAGGGTGTCAGCAATATATCAGCATCACCTGTCACTGAATTTCCACTCTTGTTCTTTAATGGCCTCACCGAGTCCTTGCTTAGCAGCTTGGTTCCATTTTTTTCCCCTTAACAACATTTATTGTAGTTGTTTTGATTTTTAGGCTATTACGCTGGGAATTTTTTGCTTTTTCTCTAAGGACATACATTATTCAGATTTTTCATCGGTTCTTACCTTCATATCTCATTTTTAACTAGCCCTTACAAGTTACCTTCGTATTTCTATATTTGCACAAAAAGATTTATTCTAAATTCTAAATTATTAGAACATTTTAAAAGTATTTTTTCCTGCAAATGTTACACTATATTGTTGCCGTCTTTGTCTCCCATTTTCTCTCTGGAAGTTTCTCCCACAGCTGTCCTCGTCCTTACTTTTCACCCATAAGGGTGTCATTTACACTTGATCCTGACAATTATGTGTGAATCCAGATGTATCTATCAGTAATGCTGCCATCTTTTTGCTAAATTTAGAGCTCCCCTTAAACTTCTGCGCTCACATGTGCAGTAGCTGTAGTGTTTCAGGTTAATGCAAGACTTTTGCATGCAGAAATAAGCTTTACCTTTATCCATGAGTTCTTTTCAGTGTATGGGATTAGCTGAAAAGTGCATTAGCTCGATCTGACTGGTGTATTTTTCTACTTGTTTTCTAGTAAGTCACAAGACGGAAAGGATACCATGTTTGAGGTGTTCTGTGAAATTATTGTTCTTGGCTGCATGTTGTCTTTTTTGCAAGTACCAGGAGTACACATTAGAATGAAGTCAAGATCAGATTGTCTGTTCAGAGCCCCCAGCTCCTGAGCTGGGTGTTGAGGAGAACTAGATTTCAGTTCTGACTTTGGAAATTCTCTATTCTTGTTTGTAAGAATGATTTTATAAAAGAAAACATTGGACAACACAGCAATAACCGGTCCTAGCCTGAATCAGGATTCAGCTTACAGTTTTAAGAACCCAAAATATAAAGTTAGCCGTATTTAGTTTCGTTTATGATTAGGAATTGTTGCTCTGATAGTGTCATGTGGATGAGGCCTTTCAAAGGTTTTGTCTAGAGCCCAAAGTGACTTCAGCTCATTCTTGCCTGAGAGTGAGTAAACTAACCTGTTTTCAAAGAAATGTTGTGTGACAGCTATCAAAGCATACAGCTGCTAAAGACCATAATACACACCAAGTGCCCAAGAAAAAAAAAGTGGATATTGTGAAATTTTACCAGTGTGATCTGAGACTGGCAAAAATCTACACTGAAGCTTTGATTACAGCATGGTAGGAGCAGTGTAACTTTGTCACTTGGAGTCCTTTTCAGTTGCTAGTGATCTGGTCTGAATCTCTTTGTGACAGAGCTAATGAAGATATTTCTCTATGGCATGATATGTGAGTTGTTTTACACCGCTT